GTTTGGCAAACAACCCTTGCCAATAAGCAAACGAGATTTTACTACGGCTATCTCAACCGTTTACAACCGAAGATTTTAAGGCTATCTTCAACCTTACAATGAGGATTTAAAGGCTATCCACACCTTTTACAAATCAATAAAAGATTGGTGTTGCTTCTCTACCAAAATAATAACAAATATGAATTGGGTAGGAGAAGAAGAAAAGATTAAATCAACAACAACAGCCTATAGGCAAGATATAAAAATAATGAAGCACAAATGCCCTTGTGTGTGAGTGTATAAAAAGATCAAAGCTTTTTTTTTTCTCAAAGGAGTAAGAAAAAAAGAACAAAGCTTTAAGAACACTCAAGAATTAGAGAAAGAGGCTTTTGATTTAATTGAGAAGTTGTTTTTCATAAAATGAGACTTAGAGGGGGTTTATATAGGAGTTTGAAATGTTAAAATTTGAGTTTTTAACGTTAAATGCCGTTAGGGAGTGATTAGGGGTGATTTAAATTTAAATTGGCAATTTGCTACAGTGCTGCCAACGGATCCGGTACCCTTCACGGTAGGGTCAGTACCGTCCGGTACCTAGGTACCGTGACACACGGTACAGCCTACCGTTTGGGGGTACCGTGTAGGCCAAAAGTTAGGTTCGCTACTGTCGGTACCTGTTAAGACGGGGGTACCCAGCCGGTTCAGCCTACCGTACGGTATCCAAGTACCGTCTCACGGTAGGGGGGGTACCGTGTACCTCCTGAGTGAAACGTACCCGGTACGTTCACTACGCTACCGACGGTACCCTGGTGCCGTGTATACGGTAGCCAGGTACCGTTAGGCATGTGTAAAAATTCCAAAACTCGTTTTTCGTGTTCCGTTTTCAAAATAACCCCAACTAAGAATATATTTGTCATTTTAAAATTAAAATTTGAGTGAAAGGGCATAAGTAACTCATTAGAATATATCATTACCTTTACACAACAATTTCTAAACTTGTAGGAGTATATCTCGGTGATGCTAAACAAGCTAATAGAGGTTTTGGCGTTTGTTTTTCCTGCAAATGATGTTAGTAACATTTCGAAGACTTATTTGGCACATCAAAACGGTTACGGGGTACGGCATTCAAGGCCAACAATCTCCCCCTTTTTGATGTTGACAAATAAGGCTTTCGAATATAATAATCAAACGCACAAACATATCGTGAAAAACATATATTGATTTTAAAACTCCCCCTAAGTTGATGCACGTGATATTTTGATAAAAACTCCCCCTAAATTGATGCATATGAAAGCC